GGCATCCACTATAGCAAGCAGCTCTTTGTCGTGGATCTCGTAGTTGATCTCAGCAGCAGAGAACTTTCGTGAATAGAACGCAACTGGGTGAAGCTTCTTGTCTATGCCCATCTGTGAAAGCACAGCTTCCAAAGCAAAATCTGAAGCATCGGTCTCTAAATAGAAAGCCTTTGCAAAGTCAGGGTGTACCAAGATTGGAGCCGTAGTGAATGCCATCTTGAGATCTTGAAATGCTTTTGCTGCTTGTGATCCCCATTCGAGCTTGTCTTTGCTTGTTAGACGCGTGAGTGGTGCAGCAACTTGAGAATAATTCTTGATGAAGATCCGATAGAAGTTAGCAAATCCAAGAAAACACTGAACATCTCTAACCGTCTTCGGAACTTCCCAAGATATAATTGCTTCTACTTTTTTTGGATCCATCTTCAAGCCCTCTGTAGTCGCAATGAAGCCCAAAAATTCCATCTCATTCTAGTGAAATTGACACTTCTCCAACTTGGCGTAGAGTCCTCGTTCGCATAGTTTTTCAAGAACCAAACAAACGTGCTTCTCATGTTCTTCTTCATTCTTGGAAAATATCAAAATATCATCCAGATAGATGACAACAAAGTCATCGAGGTACTCCCGAAAGATGTCGTTCATCATATGCTGAAAGACCGCTGGAACATTGGTAAGACCAAAAGGCATGACATTATACTCAAAATGGCCATACCTTGTACGAAAGGCTGTCTTCCATTCATCTCCTTCTTTGATTCGCACAAGGTTGTAGGCTCCTCTTAAATCAATCTTTGTAAAAATTCTTGCACGTCCAAGTTGATCTAAGAGGCCGGAGATCAAAGGTAAGGGATAGCAATTTTTCTTGGTCACCTTGTTGAGTCCTCGATAGTCCACGCACATCCGCAGTGAGCCATCCTTTTTCTTCACGAATAGGATTGGTGCTCCAGCTGGCGACTTTGAATGTCGAATAAAATTCTTGGCTAGATTCTCATCGATGTACTTCTGCAATTCTGCCAACTCCGTCTGCGATAGGTTGTATATTGGACCAAAAGGTGGTTGCGCTCCTTCCTCTAAGTCTATGGCGCAATCATATGGTCGATGTTCCGGTAGTATATCGGCGTTCTTCTTCTGAAACACGTCTTCAAAATCCCTATATTGCTCTGGTATATTCGATGTTGAGATATTCTCGCCGCTAGTTGGAGCTGCATAAATGACAAATGGTGCGCCTTCCTTGGACGATCTTAGGAACGCTCTCGCTCCAATAAACATGGATTTCTTCATATAGGTTCTACCAACAGGTTTATTATTATTTTTTTCAGGAAATGTTATCCTTCATAGCCTCCAATCAATGGACGGATTATGATCTTCTAACCAAGAAAGACCAAGGATAACAGGGCTTGATGGGGTTCTAATAATATTAAAAATAACGTGACTACTATGGTCCTTAAACACCACTTCTATAGGTTCTGATTCGTGGGTAACGTTGCCTAACAATAAGGGTCATCCATCTATCACCTCTACGTGAACAGGTTTGGACTTCTGTACTAAACGGATCTTGTGGCGTTTAGCAAACTCTTCATCTAAAAAACAAGTAGATGCCCCCGAATCCAATAAAGCTAAAGTTTTTTGTTTTTGAGGGCCTAAAAACAAAGGAATTGTAAAACAACGGGCAGGTTGGACAGAGAAGGAGGAACCTGATTGTTGTCATGATATTAGATTGTCCAGCCGCACGGTTCCTACTGTGGCTGGGCGTCGTCGTTTTCCGGAATCATCGCACTTCTAGTCTTGACAGGGTGCCAATTTTACTTCTTTGGGCAATTTCCAACCTTGTGACCTTCTTCTCCACAGTACAAACATAACCCTTCCTCCATACGCCGTTTCTTCTCTGTTGGAGTAAGAGATCGGACACGCGCCGTGTCGATTTGCATGTCTGTTGCCTCCGAATGTGAGTTTAAGCTATTTGCAGACATAGTCACGTCGTAACGAGTCATTTGGTGTCTTGGACGTTGGTCTTGGCGACGCTGGAATAGGCGGTTGTCACACTTTACAGCTTGGCTAATAGCTTCGTTGAGCGTTTGAGGATCAGGAAGAGATAACAGCAAGTCCTTCACATCATCCTTCAAGCCCCAATAAAACTGACTCACCAACGCCTCTTCACCCCAATTAATGTCACTTGCCAATTGTCTGAAATCCGAGGCATAGACTGATGCAGAGCATGTTCCTTGTCGTAGCGATCGGATCTTTGTTGTAGCCCATCGAACTTTATCATGCTCGCCAAATGCTTCTGCAAACGCCTCCAAGAACGTTTCAAAGTTGCTCAGGATTGGCGATCGCTTCTCAAACAAGGAAGTAAACCAAGACAGAGCTTGTGCTGTAAGCAAGGTTCCAACAAGCCCAACACGCGCTTCCTCCGTCGGATAACGTTCGGGCTGTAAAATTGTTATCAACCTGATTTGGTTGACAAAACCTCGAAACTTGGAACGAGTTCCATCAAACTTATCCGGAAGACTAACTCGAGGCTCCTTTCGTTGTAGGACTACTCGATCTTGTTGAAATGGAGGTAGAACTGCTTCTTCTGGCGCAGAAGTTTGAGGCTGATATGCTTTAGATGGCGCTATCTCACATGCTCTATTGTTATGGAGTCCTACCATGACTCCTTCGATCTCTGTTGTCTTATGTGACAACGAGGCAAGAGCATTTATGATGGCGTCTAGTTTGGATTCCAAACTTTCAGCCATTTTAACGTCTTGACCTTCGGCTAACCTTCAGAAAGAAGAAAAAAGAGTTTTGACAAGAGGACAATATTGGTTCAGAGGAGAGTACTCCGCAACCTCTAAAACGCCTTAAGACTCCAAGATGAGGGGTAATCCACTCTCTCCAAGAAGAATAAGGCTCCAATATTGAGAAAGAAGAGATATCAGTTTAGAGGAGGGTAATCCGCAACCTCTAAAACACTAGCACACCTTCAAGAAGAGGGGTAATCCACTCTCTAACAAGAAGGAACTAGCTCTGATACTAGTGAAAATGTAGTCTCGACAAACTGTCACGGACACAAAATACAGACTTGAAATCTAACAAGAAGTTCAAGAAGAAGTGGCAGAACTAGATTAAACAGATGAGTACAAGAACAACACCAGAAAGGTGAGCTAGAACTCCAAGAGATGTGTTGTCGAGACTGAAGAACCCTTCAGCCTCGACTCCTATATATACTACTGAATAGGAAGCTTCTCGAGCTACTTCCGCTAATTAGGACGCTTCTCCAACAACTTCTACTAATTAGGAAACTTCTCGAGCAACTTCCTAGAATCTATCAGAATATTCTAGAACCTTCTAAGAGAATCTTTAGGGAATATTCTAAGAATCTTCTAGAACCTTCTAAAGGAATCTTTAGAGAATATTCTAGAAGAATATTCGAAGAATCTTCCAATGTATGTCCATGACACCTACTCTTATCTATTTGACTAAAAGAGAGGTAAATTATTTATCAAGCCTTCAATATCTAATTTTTAAAATTTTCAATTGTGCCAAGTTAAGTATTTCTCAAGTCTTTAGATGATGCCAATTTTTTTATAGGAGTTATTTTGCCATAAGTAGTTCTATGAATTTTTCTTGGTATTATTATTTCTTTAATTTTTAGACTTTTTTGGCTATGTTTGAATTGATTTTGTATATTGCATGAAAGGCAATGTGAATTTTTTCATACCATGAGTGTGACTGGATTTGTGATATTCCTTTTTTTGAAGCATCTATGAAAAGTTTTCTACCTATTGCCATATCTAGTTATTTTTTGTGAATATGTGGTATAATGCAATGAACTCATCAGAGTATCATTACTTTTGAAAATTAGTGTTTCTAATACAAGGTCTAGGATAGTTTGTATAAATATTAATATTATTTGATCATATGTAATGTCATTGCTAGAAAGTTTAATTCCCAATGCCTTCTAAAAGTAAGAATAAATTAGTGGAGAGTAGTAGAATACTGCTCTATCAATTGTGTTAGATTTATCTATTATAAAAGGTGGTTTTGTTGTTTTTTCTATCTATACAAATTGTATCTGTTGTAGTACTAGACTAGGTTATTTTGAGGATCTTGGTCCATTAATCTTTGAACTTTTTTCTTCCTAGCTAGCGAAGTTATATGTAAGAAGGTTGTTTGCTATAGAGTCCTTAGAATTAGTAGTCTTATTGCATGGATGTTTCCTCTTCTTTCTTTAATTGAGTATGCAATATTTTGTATGATATAAAATGCTTCAGCATTGATTGCATTGTATAGGTAGTCTACTATACTCAATTTTATATTCTTTATCATCTCCAGTAAAATTGAATAGAATCAATGATTGAGATAGGTTTGTTATGTTAAAGATAAGTAATTAGACTTGAGGTCCTGCTATCTTATTATAATAAGTTACAGATAGATCTATTGCAATCACTTTACCAATAGTACTAAAGTTTTTTGTGAGGAGTTGTAGATTTCTAAAAATATATCTTATGCTTTAGAGTTGGGCCCAAATTAGAAAGTTAGTGTGGTGGATGGTTGACATGGATTTGGAATCGAAGTGTATCTGTCACATTATGAACATAAACTCTTAATTATTGAATTTATGTTGTTTGCTTAAGGTTTGTATTTTTCCTTATTTGCTAGTAAATTGGATTTGCATTGAACCTAGATTTGTAGAAGTATTTGTAGTGCCTACAATTATAGTATCAATTTTATATGCATGAAAGAGAATCTTTACATTTGGCTCAACTATATCAAACTACTGCGCTCAAATAAGTATTCCATTCCTGGACACTCTAATATTAGTTAGAGAACCAACAAAGCCTCGTCTCAACTTTTCAGTTAAAGTCCACTTTAACGGAAACATATCGAAACGGAGCCTTTTCTCCAGTCTGAAATCGCATGCGACAGGCAAAGGCCGTCTTGGTCACAACTGCGAAAAGGGGCGGTGAGCGACGGCGACATAACGGCGGTAAAACGGCGCTTTGGGGTGATGGGTGGAGGCCGTTCGGCTATCCAGTTCAGCTGACCTTCAAGCATCCGTCGGCACCGTCGCCGCGATCCTGTAAGCTTTGATTTTGCGAGTCGTTGCTGAAGGGGTTGCGAGATCGAAGACGATGCTGCGGAGTCTCATGCTGTCCCATGTCACCAGGAGATCGATACCCTGTGCGCCCCTCCGGAGCTCTTCGGCGTTGTCGGCAGTCGCACGCTCTCCGTCATGGTGGCTTTTCCAGCGGTGTGGCAGCGCAGGGCATGAGGATCCAGTGTCCACCGGGAGCTTCTGTCGGACATTTGCTGCGCTTGGGGGCGGTGACAAGATGGGCAAGAGGGTAGGCACTCATAATGGGACCTTTCATTGCGACGAAGCGCTTGGGTGCTTCATGATCCGGCTCACTGACAAGTTTGCTGATGCGGAGATTGTGCGGACCCGTGATCAGCAGGTGCGAGATGGGTCCAATTTGTGAATTTGTCTATTCTTTTGTGGTTCAGGTGCTGAATTTTGCTGTTCGATTTCTACTCTTGGGTTTTTTCTCTGTGTCGGATTCTGGGTTTATCATAAACCCTAAATTTTTCTCGAACCATTCATTGAGGCGTTTGGAAATTGATATCATGGCAGTCGTTCCTTCTTGACCTGGCTTTAGTCTTAAAGCTCTGGCGAAAGCTAGAGTTTCATAATCTTGCTAGTGGGGAGATATTTTGAGATTGGTAGTGATGGGGGGAGTTCTTTGGCTTTACGAGTAGCTTGACGTATCCGGACAATGCTCTGTAATTTTCATGAAAGGTTCTGTAGGGATTTCTGCGTTCTCGTTCTGTCGGTATCATTAGTGGTGTGTAGGTCTCGTGAAACTCATGTGCAGCATGCATGAAGCTGGTGTATACATTTAGAGTGGGAAATGTTGAGCTTCTGGATATTGAGAATATATAGAAGTGACCGAAATAATCCTAAAAGAGAGCGTGGTGAAGCCATTTTCAAATGAGGGTTCAGCGAGGTATATGGTTCCATTCTTCGTGTATTTTTCTGAACGATGCACTCTGGTCAAGAGATGCAACAACAGAAAGTCGGATTTACTGCCTAGAAATAGCAACCAACATTGTCTAATGTGTTCCAAATTGGTTGAGATTAGATAAGTACTTCAACTTTTGAACTTTTTGGTTTTCCTGTGAAACGAGAGACATGTGGCTCGTCGCCAAAGTCGATTTGATCAGCTCGTTGATATGACGGTAACTTTAGAACCTTTGGGAAGAAAACGAGAAAAACTTTTTTGCTCCATTTTTCCCCCGAAATTCTATCTTTTCCTTGGATGCATCTACATTAGACACATTATAATCCAGTTTAATAGTTCTGAAGCTAGTACTGTGGAATTAAGGCACGATCATAACGAGATTCAAACTTTGAGGGATAATGAGTTTATGTGGTTATCATCGATATTGGGCATCTGCTTATGTAATTATTTATTCAGGTCCTGGACACTTGTGATGCTGTACTGGACGTGGGTGGTGTTTATGATCCTGTAATTGATCGTTATGATCACCACCAGCGTGGGTTCGACTGCAGTTTTGGTCATGGGTTTGTCACGAAGCTGAGTAGTGCTGGACTAATTTATAAGGTAAAACTTGGCTTTTCCTATTCTTTCATGCCATAGTTTGCAGCAATGCATCTTATTTCCTTCTGCTTGGTGATGTTTATTTCTTGTAAACCTCAGATGTCATTTGCATTAGTTAGCTTGTTTGAACTTGTTCAGCACTCGGACACATCAAAATTCATAATTGTGGGCTTTTGGTCAATGTTAGCTTTCCTTGTTGCATCTGAAGCAAAAGTTGAATTGTGACCTCTGGATTCATTTTGCAGCACTACGGACAAGAGATAGTGGCGAAGGAGCTAGGCCTGAGTGAAGATCACCCAGATGTTCAGCGAGTCTTTTTGACAATGTACAAAAGCTTTGTAGAGGTAACTTGTATTTTACAAATCGCTATGGTTGTACATGAGTGTGAATGTTGATAACCTTAGTACGAGACACCACAAAATTATTAAAAATTTGATATCCTCACGAGTTACAGGAGTGAAGTTTAATTGCTCGTGGTAGAATTGTGAACTTCGTACACACGGTAATTTTTTTACATTTCTAGACATCAACGTTTTACCTTTAGCATCAATCGTATACAACCGATGGTTGCTGATGTCCACAGTTATGATACAGTATTGATTGGATTGTTTTTCCCTGAATGCAGGCCATTGATGGAGTTGATAATGGAATTAATCAATATGACACAGACAAATTCCCCCGTTACGTAAATGATACACACTTATCAGCCAGAGTGGGAAGACTGAACCCCGGTTGGATGGACGAGAAGACACCAGAAGCTGAAGATGAGGCTTTTCGCAAAGCCATGAGCCTAACAGGTATCGAATTTTTGCAGGTATTTACAGACTTCTTTGGGGGCCACATCACACCCACCTTTTAAAGTTGCTCTGCTCTGGGGTCTCAGTTTCGCCGTTTAGCACTTAGGTTTATCAGATGGAGCTGGATGTTTTGAAGTCAAACTTATGAAACCAAGTGACTGATCAAGTTATTTAAGGTCTGTAAGTTATGTGCATGCACGTCAAAGTGGTTATTGTTGTCCATTAATATTAATTTTATAATCGGGGTCTGGCAGTCTTTACGGTATTATGCCAGATCTTGGTTGCCAGCTCGATCTATTGTTGCAGATTGCGTTGCTGATAGGAAAGAGTCTAACAAATCTGGCGAAATTCTGATCATTAAGCAATACTGCCCTGTAAGTTATTTTGAATTGCACATTTTTCTCGATATTAACCTTGTTTTTGATACTATATGGTTTTCAACTGTAGTAGGGTTTCTATCACTTAAAGTATTTATGATGTTGACAGTGGAAGGGGCACCTGATCGAGCTTGAAAAGGAGTTGAACGTGGATCCAACTATCAAATATGTACTCTATGAGGTACTACAACATTGCTTGTTGTATTTTTTTGGCTAATATGCATGCAAGCTTCTCTTAATGTAGAAGCTCTTCTCTAGATTTGGTTCAAGATCAGCACTCGTCAAGCGAAGAGGAAGTTTGTGGTAATTCAGTAAGCGGTTTTGACGATATTCTGTCTCCATTTTTGTCTTCTGTTAAATTTCTTTTTGGAATGATCGGAAATGCTTCTAAACTAACACAGGACGATGAGGGAAATAAGTACTACAGTAGCTTAAAATTAAAACTGTGCTGGATTACCTTGTCAAGAATCATGCTTTTAAGTTTTAACATTTATTAGCTTGACAACTTTTGACTCCTACACTCTTGCCATCCTGTTAGACTGGTTCAGATCACTATAGAACATTTCTATTTATTCAGCATGGTGCTGCGCAGTCCTAATGGTGACACCAATAGTTGATAAGTGATCACGATTCGATATCTAATTTTTACGTTGTGCATGTATGAGCAGGATGGCCGCAGTAAGGGATGGAGAGTGCAAGCAGTTTCCGTGAGTCCAGGGTCATTTGAAAGTCGGCTGCCACTGCCTTCTACTTGGCGGGGTTTGAGGGACGATGAACTCTCAAGAGAAACTGGGATTGATGGAGGTGTATTTGTTCACATGAGTGGTTTTATTGGTGGGAATAAAACATTCGAAGGGGCGCTTGCAATGGCAGAAAAGGCTTTGGCAATGAGAGACTCTCAAACTGTGTAGGTCGTGTTCTGGAGAACTCTTTCGCACACTAAATTCTAGAATTCAAGTAAATTCTCTGATTCAATTTTTTTATATATGAAATCAGCGCATTTCCTCGTTTTGGTGGAAATAGTGCTTCGGATTCGTCCTTTATGATCTTGCATGCTTTAAATCGAAAACTATCACCTTCGAAGCGAGAGCCTCATATGATTACTAGGTTAGATGGTCTCTTAAACCTTGTGATCAGTGTTGAATTTTTCACTTTATGATGTGCTAACACTATGCACAGTTATCTAACTGGGATGCTGCTTGCACGACTTTGCTGAAATGATTTCTTTTATTAATTACAGCGTTTAGCTATGTAACTGTAATTGGTTAAGCTGTAATTGTGGTGGAAGGCCAACTTGAATGAACCAGTTTAAATTATGATTATTCTATTCATACATCCACATTCACTAAAACTTTTGCATCTTTTGCATGATGAATAAGCTGTTTTTGCTATCGATCTATGGTCTTTTGCATCAATTGATCTTCTAGTTAGTATTTCTTTCAATTGATGAAATACAATAGTTGATGAAATACAATAGTTTTAGTGAAAAGTTTGCTCGCTTAAAGAAACAATTTGAACAACAATTGCATTAAAATGCAATATTTTTTCTTCTAATTCACGTAATTACATTTCAAACATATTGAAACCCATTTTTTTCATATATTGAAGAGCTTAAAAACATAGCTTGTAGCATTTCTTGAAGGATTGTACAAGAGACAAGGTAAAACTCTCCAAAACAGATCACAATTTTTTGCTAATTTATCAGTTGAGCTAAGAAATGTTTTGCTTGAAAATAAGATTTTAATAAGAAAAAGTCTCTAAATATATAAATTTTTTGGTATATATATACACATACATACAAACAAAATCATAATATTTATGATTTTTTGTAATAAGAATACATTGTATAGATAAAATATAATTCAAAATAATACATAGAAAGATAACTTTAAAAATATATATGTATTAACATTGACATATATTGGATAGAAATTATATTATTTATAATTTAATTCTTTGAAAATATTACTAATGTTTAAGAAATGGAAAATGTTAAATCAACTCATAGGAATATTAAATCAACCTAATGCTCCTTGGCTCATGTAAACAGTCTAGGAAGATTGATTCTCAAGCCAATGAGGTTATGATTCTTGGTGTAGCACTTGTAGTTCATAATCTGATCAAGCAAGCTGAGTTCTAAATCATATTGGTGTGCATTGAACCAACAATCAGTGGGGAGGAAGATTTGAAAGTTATTGTCAATTGAGCTCATAGATTTTCCTTTTCACAAATCCAAGAAACAATCACAAAAATTGAATTATAGAAATTAGGTGGGTTAATTTAAGATTTAGGTTGGTTAATCCAATATTCTCCTAACAAATATAGCTTAAGAGATTACACACACACACACACACACACACATATATATATATATATATAGATATAAAGATAAGTAAAGAATTAAAATATTTAAACACATCAAATAATTAGATTATGCCAATAAAAATTAGAAATAGATTTTTGAGAAACAAAGGCAAGATTGCACAAACAATGAAATCAACACCAATATATATATATATATATATATATATATATATTAAAATTTGAATCAAAATATTAAAAAGTATGATTTTGTCAAGATGAACATTAGAGCTGCTAAAAATCTCTTAGTATTGTTCAAAACATATTCTAAATACCTACAAAAGAGAGTATGTATTATATTGTAAGAGTGCTACCCATGCCTACCTCTCTCCATTGGAATCTCCATAGGAACATTCATTAAATAGTGGGAAAGTTAACCATATTACATATCTATAAACAAGAAAAAAAAAAATCTATATATATATATATATATATACATGCACTGAAGCATACAAAGTAAATTTTTGTAATGAATGAATTATAAATGTGTAGAACTATTTTTTAAATTTGATAATATAAAATACAAAATTTTAAATTAATAAATAATACATAATAATATTTTATATTATGTTAAAAGTATTTTAAATACACAGTAATTTAAATATATTTTTAGTGTACCTTTATGTTTAGTTTCTGTAATTTATGTTTAAATTATGTAATATATCACAAAGCAGTATGCAATATAAATGCTATGTAATTTATATTGCATACTACTTTGTGATAATATAACAAAATTATATTATGTTTCATATGACTTTTTATTTCATTTTATTTGATATGTTCTAAATTTAACAAATAAAAAAGTAAATTTTTTAGCATATCAAAATTTAATTAATTTGATAAGTATTATACTAATATGAGAAAAAAGTATTTTATTTTTGGAAAATACCAAAAAGAACATTAATTTAGATATTTCAAAAGTAAAATGAATTTCCTGCCAGAAAATTATTGTATTATATTATATACATCATAATGCTAAATTCTATAAATTTATTATGTACATGCACAGGTTTCTTGAAACTATGCTCATAAGTTTAAATCTCTCTCTTTATATATATATATATATATATAGATTAAAAGTGATGTTTATCAATTGTAAATGTTTTAGAGCTAAAGTAACTTATTTTTGAATTTTAATTCAATTTGAGTGAGTAGAAAATTTTAATTAAATGATAAAAATAATACAAAAATATTTTAATTATAAGAAAAATTAAAATAATTAAAAAAATATTATTAAACTTTAAAATAAATCATATTAATATCTTAGAAAGAACTAAAGCCTATAATTATGGTTTAAATAATTAATTTTTACTAAATATTCACAAGAGCTATTTTTAATAATTTGAGACCAATTTATATTTTTTTAAAATAAATAAATACAATGTGGGTATATCAAACTTTAAAGATTTACATAAAATAATTTTAAAATCTTCCAAACTTTATTTAATATATTATGTTGTGCTTAAGAATGTTTTATAACAAAAACTATCTATTCTAAAAAATTAAATGATATTAATTTATAAAATAAAAGGTTTGTGTAATAAAGAATATTGAAATTTTAATTTTTTCCTAGAATTTCAAGATGTTTGGAATTTTTCCAAACATTATCACTAGGTTTCTTTTACAACCTTTGAACAAAAGTTGTTGCAAAAAATTATGTCTAAAAACTCAAGAAATGTGTCTTATTAAGAGACTTTTTTTTATTGGCTTGTGAAAAAAATCACTAAAAGCTAAGATAGTTTGTTTTTATCCATACAAGTAGTATTTATGATGAAATATTATTATAATCTTGAATTCTATTAACTTCTCTCTTATTTTCTATTCATTTTAAATATCCTTAAGCATATTCCAAAGAAATTATATTCATCCTATTTTAAATAATATATGATCATTTTAATTGTGTATTATCAAATTTATTTTGGATATCTCAACAAGATCAAGTGTAGCATTCTTTAAGTGTTTTGTAGATTGTAAATGTCACTTCTTAGTTGACATCTTACCAATGTTTTTAATTTTAAGTTTATCTTGATTTGCAACAATTAAGATAAAGACATGACATGACGTAGGTTAAATTCTTAAATATATGTGTATATTTATGTATATAATAATCGAAATTTGATACATATATTAAACAAATTTAAAAAAGTTTAGACTCATATATTAATACAAACATACAAACATATACATAAAAATTACTTATACGTATTCATTATATAGTTTCATTTGTTCAAACAATGAATTTATTTTTCTCTCTTCAAATACATGCTCTAAAAAATTTCAAACATTGATTACATAAACTTTGGATCAAATGAAGCTATAAATAGCAACATATATTTTGTTCAAATTTGATTTTAAATGTAATGCAATCAAAACCAAGACATTATAAGTCATCAATTACCATAGAGAGCAACTAAAACCATAAAATGACTAAGATAATGTAAGAACGTACCCTATCTCAAATAAAATCACACCCCTTTAGTTTTATGAACTACATAATTTAGATATATGGTACTTCCCTTGACTGCGGAGGAAAAGATGGAGTATTCCTCTGTCCTTCACATCATTCTCAGTTGCTGAGAATTACAAACTAAAAAAGACGCTCTATATTATTTTGGATTCCAAAGAAATCAAACAAATAAATAGATGCAAAGATCTTAATTGCAAACTTCAAGACAGATCTAGATCATATCTATGAACCCACTATACATACTACATTCACAATATACACTGTTTGAGAAAATAGAACGAATATCCAGAGAGGTTTTAGATTGTCTTTGAGATTCAAACTACCAGTGAACCATTATCTCACAAGAGGCCAAAAATAAGCGTCTCAAATTAATCTCATTCCAGCAATCCGAATGTTACGAGAGATTAGATATTGGACAAGGGCATAGACCATTCCAATGCAAGCTAAGAATCTGATACTAACAATGTCGGTTATGATGGCTACTGGCAGATTCATTGGCGTTGTCAAGAGCAACGTGATGTCTGATTGCTTGAGATAGTTCCACATGAACCTATTGAACAAAAAGTGATTGGGCGTAGTAAGCATTAGAAGGATTATATTCTTCACAAGGTAAAAGAGACCCGGCCCACCTGTCTGCAACCCCCAGTCAGAGCTGTGATAGCCATGCCACACTTCAATCCATAAACGATAACCTGCAGAAACAATTAGATAACCAGACGCTGCTGCAGTCAATGGAAAGTACCGCTGCCGATCTCCGAATCCTGTCGACAGATTAGCGTCTTGATTCAAGAGCAACAAAATAGGGGCCAGGACGACAATTGACCGATCGGAGCCTCCTGTAAGGTGAAGGTTAAGAATCAGACAAATGCTGAAACATAGCAAAGTTGCCACATTGCCGATAGTTGCCATCCAAGCCCCTTCTGCAGCGAGCTTTTTCACGCTGAACGCACTGGTTGATGAAGGCTTGCGCTGCTGAGCCAGGCGATACTTAGGTCCAGGACCTCCAACGACCTTGTCAGATAACTTGTCGGCTATGATTGATGCCAGCTTCAACTTGATTTCAAAAGCAATCGCCATGAAAATTGCAGCATAAAGACCCAACAAGGATACTCTTGAACCCTCAAGAGCAAAAAGCGTGATATAGTTGTCCTCACTGCCTGCCCGATCTCCAGTTCGAAACCTCAATTGTCCCTCTGCTAAATAGATAACTGGACAAAGCCCAACTAAAATTGCAAAAACCCAAGGGAGTAGTCGAGGGCTTGTCGCTGAAGGTAAGTGTGTAAAAACCAGGAAAACAGAGGCACATACCATAGCTGCTACAAGCAATACATGCAAGATAGCAGCCTGAAGGAAGTATTGCGCACAAAGATAAACACCAGTGCTGACTCCCATGCCCACTGCGTACACAAGACGAAGCTCCACAACATCTTGGATTGGGATTGCAGAAGTTAGTGCTGCCAGTGATATCGTGATAGTTACGATTAGGAGCCATGTAGGCCATGTAGGTGTTTCGGCTGCAGCACCATAAATGGACAAGCTGTCGGCAGATCTTTCTGGCATGTGAGCTTTGTCCCACCAGAACGTCCAAGCCTCAGGTACCGGAGGCTGCATAAGTGTGAGCAACAATCCAACGGATATCACAAGCACCAACGCCCGCTTGGCACTCTGTATCAACATGAATAAATGTCAGAAACGCGTACAACATGCACCTCATAATCGATACGTACACAAGCCAACAAATGAGATAATCATGGAATTCATCAGTGCAATACTCAACTTGGAGACCTTGATATCACCAACCAATGCACGGCAAACATGGATAAGTTTTACATATGCTCCAGATGTTCGTATATTAGAAAAGTTGTTCGAATATTTCATAGCTGACTCAGCGATGAAGGTTTGGGTCCACGTGACTACATAATTATCTCTAATTCACTGCTTGGATTTTACTTGAAAGAGGTACTTGTACAGTACCTGGAGAATAATAATATGTACTGCATTATGTCATAGATTTTAAAGAATACTAAAAAGATCAACTTGTTACAAATCATACGGTTATATATAAGTTCTTGTTTTATCTAGAGCTCAATTTAAATAGCTCAGACAACTCAACGAACTCTGGACATTATTTGCGTCTAGAAATGATTCTTAACCTATTCCATATCTGCATGTAGACTTACCACGACGCTCTTATAACATTCACGCAGACATGCAGGCATGCTTTATACAAAGCTCAGGACAAATACTTTTCCTTGAAAACACAGTTCCAGATCGTCGTAAAAGACTTCATATGGAGCACTCTCAAGTAAGAGAAGGGATAACACAGACCCAGCTACAACCAGTCCTAACTAATATTTCCTCAAAAGTACATCACAAGCAAACTTTTCTCAAAACACTAAAAGATTACTCTAAATGACGACAACCACATGCAAAATGTCATGATGTTACGCGAATATCTAGTAGCATTACTTGTAAAGATACTGCATACCTGTATGTGAGAGAAATGCTGTGTGACGATTGGAGCACATGCAACACCTGCTGACAGAATTAAGCTGCCCAATATCAACCCATCAGAAGGAGTCAACCCTGTCCACCATTGCAAAGCTTCAAACAAAGTAAAGCGACAAAGCCAAACTGAAATGCCAATAATGGCTGCATGACCCATTCCTTGCCATGGCTTCATCTTGAAGCCTCCACCCTTGTTTCCAGTCCTGCAGACATTACCCATGAGACATAAAAAAATTCAATGCAAGTAGTCACCTCCTGGTCAAAAGTTTGAAAATGGTCAAGTTGAAGTGCGAAATCAGTGTATTATACTTCAGAAAAAGGATTATCTTCTAAGACAAAAACAAAATGAACATTGCCGGAACCTACAATTGCAAATTACAGAACCGAAAACCAACAGGAGAAAAAGATTTAAGAAAATACTTGTAAAGTAATAGTGGAGGTGTAACTGCAAGAAGAAGTAACGCAGCCGCCCACACAACATGAGGTGAACTTAGGAACAGCATTGAAAGCTTGGACAAATAGAAACATGTTGTCAGCCAACAAGATACTGAACTGATCCTCTTGTCTGCTACCAAACGATGCACGAGCACTAAACCCAGCACTGTCGTGAAAACGACCATGTAACTGGGATACACCACATCATCCTCCATGGAAAAATAGTAGATGCTCGTAAAATTATAAAGCCGATTCTCCAAATGGCAAACAATTAGAGCATGAATCACGAGTCCGGCCTCTGCAGCATATCGTAATTTGTTGGGAAGAAGGGAAAGTGCTGGTACACCCATCGCCACCACAGCGCCTCCAATAATATACTTGCATATTGTTTGCAGGGGGGCTCCTCCCAACCAGATGTTCAAATACCAAAAATTGTGCACTACGAACCAAGTTAAAGGCACAACCGCAGCTACAACAGAGATCGTGTAGGAAACGATACTCTTGTTTAAGAAGAACTGGGCGATGAAGTATGCAGCAATGACTGGAGCAGGCAAGAACTGCACACAACAAGTAAGTCAGGCACATGAAAACCAAGAACGAACTCTTCCCTTAGCTAAACGATTTTCTCCGAATACAGACAGATGAATCAGTGATGTCCCATCTGTCTCTCTGTCCACTCATCTACATATATACTAAACCTAGTTTAAAAAATGATTCATACCAACACTTACTTGGACATCCAAGTAAACAGATTCTCCGACTTACTTAGACTCAACTCTTGTACATGTATGAATTATTATTGTATATCCAGGTATTTTACATTAGGCAATGCTAGCAACTGAAAGCCCATATCAGAATCAACATGCCCAGTAAGACATTCATACATCAGTGGGCTGCATATAGGACATGACAGGCATGATATGCCGGCAACTAAAAACCCCTCATTAAACAAGAGGTATTAGTGATGCAAAAATAAGATTACGTACCATCCAGGGCAAGCCGATCGCGATCGATGCTGAAAATGAAGCCGCCACCATGAGAGAAGTGAGTAGAGGAGCTGTCAAAGCATCTCCAATTAGACCGAATAGGTATGCCACGAGTCCAGCTGCACCTCCCAAAGCTGCGATTGTTACAAGGATGTAGTTCCAAGGCGATGGAATTTGGATGTACTGTCCAAATGAGTAGAACACGACCCTAACTTCCAGGCAGAGTATGACGACAAGCAAGGCTATGGCACCATTCATAAGCCTCACTTGTTGAAGCAGGTGCTGATCCTTGTACAACCAATTAAGAGCTCCTTTTGTAGAAGCGTAAAGCTGAAAAAGCAACGGAACAAAGAACAGCAGCAGAAGGTCACAGATGGCATTTGCTGAAGAAAACAGGCGAGCGTGGTGTGAACCGATGTGAAGAAGCAAGGGGAGGAACATAAGTGCCATCGTGTGGAATGAACCCTCAAGAGAGCCTTGAATCAGGGCTTCCTCCGCAAACTGCCCACCATACGATCTTTCAGTTTTCAGCCTAAACGATGAAGGCATTGGCAATGCAAAAAGCCAGTAGAGCTCGAACAAAAACACCATGTAATAGTAAGGCGCATTCGTCATCCCCACAGCCATCACAACCCCCCATGTCTGTATCGTAGAAGCTGTAAACGGAATGCACGCGAATAAAACCCTCTCCAGCGACAACACCACCGCAGGATTCTCCAGCTGCATCCACCGAAATTGCACGGACGCCCATATCCCGACCAGGAACATAAACTGGAACGATACGAACAGGCAACTCACGTGCAACGCCAACGATGTAGACGACGCCGTAAATGTCGATCCGGTCAAAATCATCGCCAGTCCTGTCGCCCCTAGAGTCCCCCAAATTCCAAACATCGCCCCTTGCTTCAAATGCAGCGAGTCCAGAATGTAGCATACCATTAACCCTACCGTCAGGGTGGCCAGCACGGGCTTCCCTCCAATTCCCGACAAGAATATCGCACTCGGAACCAACGCAACGGCCACTCGGCCATTGTACTGAAACGAGCCGGGCGCAAACCTAACCTCGCCTTCCCTGCGGCCCCTGATCCCCTCCCTGCCTAAGCTCATCGAGTCCATTCTCGAGGCCGACCTCATGCCTGCCCCGCTTCCCGATGGTCTATACTCCATCAAATACTCTTCCCCTCTCACCTCCTCGATCCCTCATTTCATCTCCTCCATCGTCTCCTTCACGCCCCCTCCTAAGAAACCCTAAATACCTTCTTCTCCGAAACCTCAGTTACGACACTACAACACCGAGCGAAAAAACACAGAAATCCACACGACACGACAACGTCATTCAGAGTTCTACGATTACGAGATCCCTCCTCGAAATAACAATCTGGGAGCACGATGAAATGTGAGTTTGCTTTGAATGTGCGATGCAGTCAATCGACCGCGGGGCCTAATTCTTCCATTGGACACATAATTTCCCGAAAGCTTAAGCGAATTTTATCGTGTCTGTTGTGTAGGGTTGGTTATTGGTGGACGACAGCGCCTTTGCCAGGTCAGGCGGTGTGAACAGAGACGCAAAGCGCCAGCGTGGAGATTGGATGTTGACTTGGCAAGGAGTGCATCGTGGATTGGTTGTGCCACGTCGTTTGGTTGTTGAATTAGTGTGTATTGTTGACTAAAGTATTGCAACGGATAAAGGATTTTTTTGGATGTGGAAGTAGTCAGTGGATGGATGTATTATCCCCTTTGATTCGCCTTTCGAGGCTTCTTCTGCTTTGCTTTTTCTTTCTTCATTCCATTTCTTTTTCTTTTCTTATCCCTTCATGCTGTAAAGTTCTCTTGTCTGGAATCTAAACAAAATCTTCAGTTTTTAATTTTAAAATAGAATATAGAAAATTTAAAAATAAAAATAAAAATAAGTCATAAGAAATAAAATTTTAGTGATAATAAAGATTATTGTGAGTATTGGATAGATTTTTTTAAAAATAAGCTTATTATTTAACTAGATGTATGTGATTACATAACTTTGTAATAAAATAACTTGAATTTTAATTTATGTGTTATTTCAATTGTCTTTTTGAGAAATATTTGACCACAAATATAAGGGAGTACTGAAAGTGGAAAAATTAAGGTCAATTTTTAATTCTTAGATATCTAAAGATTTACATATTATATAAAGGAAAAATTCAAGATATTTATACAAGTCATAAAATTTAGCTACATACTAGATTGGAGTAAATTTTAACAACTAAGTTACAAAATTAGGTTATTAGAATTCTTCATCAAAATTAAAATATAAAGCTAAGCTTCATTAATAGAGGTTTTTTGCATTAATTTTTAATTTTTAATTTGATATTTTTAAAACTTATGAAGTTATACATAAATTATAAAATAAATAATTTTAAAATTTTAAAATAAATACAAAAATTTAATTATAAATGGTTTTTAAGATTTTTTAAGATTTAATTAGAATTTTATTTTAATAGTTTAGTATTTATTTATGTTTATTTTATTTTTTATTAATATTTTTTAGGATTTTAATTAAAATTAATTTAAGATTTAATTAGATTTTTTTAAAAATTTACTAAAATTTTTCAAATATTAAGAATAAAATCATAAAGAAGCAAATAATCCATATACTCTTTTTTTTACTAGAAAAGAATAAATATTCATTTAAAGATGGTATAATATTAAAACTAGAATGGCTATTGCCATAGACAAAAAGATTAGAGATTCTTGAAACAAAACTAAAATGCAACAAATTGCATTTATCACAAATGTTAATTTTTATTCTATTTGAAGGTAGTTGATAGGTTATCTTAGCCATCAATTGTCAAGGACACAAACTAGAAGAAGATACATAAACTTGTGGAATCTATGTATTAAGGACACAGAGTGGAAGAATATACATAAATTCATGGAATCTATGTCAAAAGGAAAGTGACAAAATAGAAGAAAGTATGTATATTCAAGGAAGAATTGGAATAGCTATTGCCAAAGACTAGAAAATATAAGACTCTTGAAATTAGACTAAAAGCAAGAAAGGAGTTGACAAGAGTGAGGAAGGCCTCACTCTTACTTCTATATATACTACTTAACTAAGAACTATGTGGCGACATGCTATAGGACCTCTAATACGCATCCAACTTGTAGGATATATGTCTAATTTGCAAGGCAAGTTTCCTAGGTGTGCACCATATGTCCAACTTGTACGACAAGTGGTCAACATGTCAACATGTGGCCTCCTTGTTGGCCAAGTTTTCACCCTATCAATCACCTATAGACATGTATAAAAACAAAGCAGCATCTATGAAGCTTCTAGGAAGTTTTTCACAAGATATTATCATATTTATCTACTTTGACTTATTTCTATCTATTCTTATTATCTAGACAATTATGAGAGTAAATATGTATGTCCGTTACATCAATAGTATTTCATATTAGGAAGAGAAGTCCATCCTATTATTTCATCGTTGTTAAGACTTTTGTAATTCTTTTCAAATAAAATATTTAAAATACAATAATGAGTGGTTCCTACTTCTAATAATATCACCAAATATTAGGATTCTTCTTCAAGGTAGTGATATCAAACATATTATATTTCACCATTTATTTGAGAAAAAACTTATCGTTCTTAAGAATCTTCATCTTTATAATGTCGTCTTGAAAGTTGTAACAATCTCAATGCCTTGTATTGTAAATCAATAAAAAAAAACTCTTAAGTTGAATTTTCTAGTTATTGATTCTTCACGTCATTAGTAAGACAAATATACAAAAATCACAAATCAAAATAAAAGATAGAATATATTCTTCATTGAATTTCATTTTTTTATAACAAAGAATTGTTTGATTCTTTATCTTGATTTTGTTGAATGTTGTCATTGAAAAGCATCAATCTTCTTTACTATATTTTTAAGATTCTTGGCTTGCTTCCATGTATATTTATTAATTTCATATTTGTATAAGATATTCCAAATAATTTCATATCAATGTATAAGATATTCCAATTTATTTTGGTACTATCTTAAATTTAATACTTCTTTGATCTTAAATTCTTGATAATTATCCACTTTTATATAAAGAAGTGGCATTTATATTTTTTCCAATATATTCATTGTCTTGTATGGTTAAAAAAGAAATAAGTGAAATATGGGATGGATCTTCATAAATTCTAATAGATGTAATTAATAAGCAATTGCACTAGTTTCTTCACAAATAAAAGGTGACTTAAATTTAAAATAATCTAATTTATCAAAAAGACAATTAGTCTTGATATTACAATAAGATAATCATACTTTTTTGCTAATAAGTAATTAAGGTAGTTTTTTACAATAAGCATTTGTATTAAATTTTTTTATTCTTGAACTTCTTTTAATTGTGTCTTTATTATTTCTTGTAGCTCTAATAAATAATTTTTTAAATCTTCTATTGCAAGATTATCAACTTTTATAAAATAAAAAATATCAAGTTATGGATGATAATCATAATTAATTAAAAAAAAAATTATTGAATAGAAGAATGTATTATATTATTATAAGCATACTTTGACAATGAAAAAAGAATCATCTAATCATCTTAATATTAATTGATAATATATCTCATACACTACTTCAAAATTTGATTCACATTTTTTATTTGTCTATCAATTTGAAGATAAAAAATCAAAGTGAATTTTATATCCATCTTTAATATCTTAAAAAGAATTTTTCAAAATCTTAATACAAATTAAATCTCACTATTTGATACAATATTCTTTAAAAATCCATGATAAAAATAAAAATTGTAAAGAAAAAATTTAATTTTTTCTACATTTATAATAACTTTTGTACACAGTACAAAATATACCATTTTAGTGAAACAATCTATTATCACAAATATAAAGTTATAAGAATATGAGATTAGAAGAACCATAATAAAGTCCATAGAAAGAAAAGACCATGGTCATTCTAGTATAAGAAATGAATAAAGAAGTCCATAAGATTGATAACAAGGATTTTTTTATTTTTTTATTTTTTTAATCTTGAATAAATATCATATGATTTTACAAAGTTTTAAATTATTTTTCACATTTTAAGCTATCAAAAATCTCTTGATATTAATTATAAAGTTTGATTTTATCAAAAATATCTTATTGTTAAAAAATTGTAGCAAGTTTGAAGAATATGTAATTGTGTTTTATCTTCTAAAAAATATAAGTATTTCTTTAAATAAAATAGTTTTTTTTTTTTTTTTTTTTAAATTCAAACTTAAAAGGATCAAGATATTTAGATAAATTATTTTTAGTGTCATAAACAAGAAGATCTAAGAATATATTTGATTGAATTTGATTGAATCCATAATCAATTTTGATTTTATAACTGAAAGTTGAAATTTTTTTAGCTTCAAAAAATTTGTTTATTATTAATCAAAAATTACATTTCTTTCTTTTGATGCAAAATAAGAATGATTAGAAAGTACATTTGACAAATATTTTTATTTTTCTTACCTATAAATAATATTCAATTCAAATCTTAACAAAAAAATACTTTAATAGGCTCAGTATAGATTTAAAATACAAGTTGATATAAAATACTTGAAGTTCTTGTGATTTTTATAAACAATTATTTAAATAGAAGTGCCTTCTAGATAATAGCACCATTCTTGAAATGAATCCACAATTATAAAAAGCTCTTTATTATGGATCTTATAGTTAATCTTAGTTGTTAAATATTTTTGAATAAAAAGCTACTAGATGAAGTTTGTAATTTTCTTCCATTTATAACAACACTGTTTTTAAGGCAAAGTTCAATGCATTTGTTTCAATAAAAAATAACTTAAAAAAATTGATACAATATAAGATTAGAATAAAAATAAAAGTTATTGATAATAGGATAGAAATATATTTATATTATTGATTCATAGAGATAGTATCCACCATAGAACCTTCTAGAAGGAGTTTAAAGCAGTTATTTAAGTGTGATCCATCATCTAAGAATATTCTAGAAAGTCCAAGGTAGTAGAATAAAGTATAAATAGAATTGGCTAGGATCTTTTGAGGCATTTGGTCAAATATGGCTTCAAAACTTTTGTCTTAATACAATTGGATTTTGTATCATCTTATTTTTTTCTGTTCTGTTTTAATTTTGGTTGTTCAATTTTATCTTCCGTGTCTCATTTTATTTAATTCTATTCAATTTTATTTTGGTCTAGTTTGTCTTATCTTGTGATAAGGTTTTATGTTATTATAGATTAGAAGGATCTTACATACTTGAGACAAATTGATCTTGTTTCATTGATATCAGAGTGAGTGTTATATTATTTTTTAGTAGTATGTCGATAGTCATCATCTAGTCTACAATTAGTTATTGTAGTTGTATTGGATATTGTGTTGAGGTTACTACAAGCTAATTTTGAAAAGTCAACCAAGAGGTGAAAAAGCATTATAATAGTGGAATTCAGTAGAGAAATTATAGCATAGGAGATATGAGGCACAATTCCAGATAGAGGCTCAAATACAACA